TATACTATATTTAATTATCTTCACCAATATGGTAAGTAAAACTTTATTTTGAACTTTAATAGTGAATAGCATGCTTTCAGTATTAGTTTTTAGCATGTTTCTGATATTATTCTTGAACAACAGCAAATTAAAATAAATGATTACTGAATCAACTGAGTGGGATGAGACAAACGAAACATTTAGCTTTGTAGCTCCGCTAAAAACCGGGTTTCGAGTGTCGTGGTGGGCACAGCCTTTTGTGTAGCTTTTTGCCTAACAACAAACAAACAAATAAGCTCCTTTTTTGTCTCATCTACCTAGATGAATAGAAAAATATTTTAGGTAAAGTGTAATTTGTGTGTCAAGTTTAAATTTGATAATGATTGAAAATATTATGTTGATTATGAATTTTCTTCCTGCTGCATATGAATCCCTGTTTACATGTATTTGTTTACTTAGTTTATGTTTTATTAATGATATAATGAGGTATTAAAGGAAAATATGTTCAAACACTTTTATTAAAGATCATTAACCTGTGAACTCGAATTTTCTTTTCAAATGTGACGTTAACGTGTTTTAGAAATTGTTGGTAAAACGATAAACAATGAGAATGCAAATTAAATGGAATCAAGTGTGATATTTCACCGAAATCAATCAAGAAGTTCCGAACTAATAAATTATTCGACCTCTTACTGTGGTTTTGGAACCAAAATTTCCAACTGCCAAAATTCAAAATAATTCAGGCTTTAATCCAGCTCCATTAGTAAATACATTGGTAGTATGGAAATCACAATTATATTTTACATTTTAGTAAGACTTTATCATCTGAAGAAATAAGTATATTCAACAATTTGATCGTAGAGGAAACTTTATAAAACAGACTCAATAAATACGTAGATAAAATATTTTCTGGATTAGCTCTTCTGGTCAGAATAAGACAACTGGAGATGTACCAAACATTAAAAAGAGATTAATCTATTGTGAAATTTAGATCTGTATTTCCTACCCTCATCTATCCACACAGCTTCCTATTTTCGACTGCAATCACGCCCATTACTAGATGGAAACACATGCGAAAGCTAGAGCTACTCACATCTCACCAACGATGGTTGGCTTTCTCCGAAGGCCATTTTGAAAATTGTCATAGATAACTGTTTGATGATAAACATATTCTAAAATAACATATTGTGGTAAAATATAGTAACTATAGAGGTTTGTATATTGATTTAATGTATTTGTTTAATTCGTTAGTTTTTTTTTTTTAATAATGATGATTATGACAGCTAGAGGCTATTCATATTGCAAGTTTGTAATGACTTGTAATATAATTCAATATGCTAAATTCTTAAGATTATACATTTATTCGTTTTTGTACGTAAAGCTACATAACTGACTATCTGCAATGAGCCCTCCACAGGTATAGAATTTCGAACTTTAGCGTTGTGAACCTTCAAGCTTATCAACCACTAAGCCACCGAGCGGCGATAATTTATTAATGTATATGGATATAAAAGTTGGCGTATACAATTATATCTCATGCAAAATCTTATGATATTTTTATATTCTGTAAAAGAAGTATATGTCAGCTTATCTAAAAATGTAAAGAGATATACACCACATACAACTAGCACAAAAGCAGTATAGATTATGTTGTTGTTGTTTTTTCAATTAATATAACTTTCTAATTTCCAATCAATGGTAATAATTATAATTATTTTTTTCTTTTCTAGAAATGATTATCAACTGTTCCTCACACTTAATTCTTTTGAAGTGAAAACGGCCAAGTTAACGAGTAAGGGATTGCTTTGTGATCTTGGTGTGATATGTTACAGTGAACGTCTGTATAACTGGTTCACTATTTTACTTCTAACTACAAAGCTACTAAACAGTAACTGTTCATGTGGGTATGAACTCGCATAATGTAGGTTTCAGTAACTTGACATCAGTGAAATCTCGCCACATAAACCGTACCTATAAGTACTATGATATTGCTTGATTTAATGACCCAAGGTAATTTGATTGTTAATTAAAAAGCAGTTAATTTTCACACTTCATTGGTTATATGATATAAGACGATTCAAGAAACACTCCTATAGAAGTAACCAACGTACCCATAGTAAAAGAAATCACAAACACAACTTCATATTTGACTCTGTACAATTACGTGGTACTCAACCACTTAATGAGCTATGTACTTTTACATTAATTATTGAAGCACAAGCTGCGACTCGGAATGGAGAAGTGTAACATGAACAGTGTATGCACATTATGTTATCTAGGGGTCAGAATCCTACTAGATCCTGTAAAGGGGCTGGAAATTGACGTCCAGTTGTAGTTGACCCGTCCTTGTCTGCTTGTATGTAATGTGTGATTTGTAAATAAACAGATATTGTTCTTATTCTGCTTCAGCTTATACAACTGTTAGAAATAATCATTCGTACAAGAACACAGGCCAGAGACAAACAAAAACTCCACGAATAAGAGACAAAAAGAAAAAGACTTAGATGCAAGAACTTCGTCACATAATAAATTATGAAAAAAAATTGTTTTAGTTCCCATTGACACATTGTAAACTAAGATTTATGTTGGTCAGATAATAGAAATTGCAATTTACAACACAATAACAATTAGAGGTGCAAAAATGATTAAAGCATTAATGAATAAGATAAAGTTTCGTTCGAATCTAAGAGGCAGAACAGTAAATTTTGTCAATAAGAAATAATTTACTCAAATTTTTCATTAATAGTTTAATGCAGTCACACTTGTATGGAAATATATAGAGTAAAAACGTCATTATTTGAACACCCCTTGTTGTTGTTATAAGAGAATGGACTGCCAACTAAATACATCTCCAAAAAGGTTGATGGAGTTAGATTTTACAGTTCATATGTGTTCTAACCAAATGAAGAACAGAGCTAAAATTATATGTGTTTCATTAGCAACATAAAATATTCACTAAAACAGCTAATAGGTTGGTATCGTTGACAAAATATCGCTGTGTTTTTCCGGTTCTTGGTTTGGTTTGAATTTCACATAAAGCTACATGAGGGTTATCTGCGCTAGCCGTCCTAATTTAGCAGTGTAAGACTAGAGGGAAGGCAGCTAGTCATCACCACCCACCGCCAACTCTTGGGCTACTCTTTTACCAACGAATAGTAGGATTGACCGTCACATTTTAACGCCCTCACGGGTGAAAGGGAGAGCATGTTTGGTGGGACGTGGATTCGAACCCGCGACCCTCAGATTGCGAGTCGAGCGCCCTAACCACCTGGCCATGCTGGGCCTTTTTACGTTCTAACACTTGGATAACTGATTTACTCCATTTTCGTATGAACTTCCACAAGCCACTAACAGGTAAGATTGTCACACAGTTCCATGTAACCAATAACCAAAGTTGAGGTTGTTACCAAAGCAACAACTTTAAGTAAATTACAAAATGCTAAGACGAATAAAACATATTCTTATTTCTGGACGTGCAGCGCGTGCAAAATGCACCGAAACAGTCGTGAATTTTCACACGAGGATTCGTAAAACTTACATTTTACTACCAACATATTGACTTTTGGAATAGTGTTTAGGTGAAAGTTGCGAGTTCTTTTAAACATTTGTCTCTTTAATCTTTTTGTTGTAGTATATATTCAGGTAAATAATAAATAAAACTGAGAGTTGCGAATTTTTGCTTATTATTAATATTTAAAAATGACTAAGGAAATTATTACTTTTTATCTCTCAGTAATAATGTAGAAAGACATATTTCTATTTCCTAATGCTCGATATGAACATATATTTATTTGAAATGAAGCAACAAATTAGAAAGCAGGAAATATTAAAACTAGAGCATATAGTGAAATGTCTTATTATATAAAACATTATGATATGCGTGAATCAAAATTATTTAAAAAATAAAACTCTTAAGTTTATTACTCAGTTAACGAATTGATATTATTCGGCTTGAAGTATTGTAGTACAGCACAGATATTATATAGGATAGCATATCTCAACTCCACCAACGTAGCAGATGAGTCAAGATACACAACTGACTTTAAATATCTCGAGAGTCAATATTCAAGTGGGTCACCTGACAGCTTGTTGAAAACTAGACATCTTCGTTCAGCTGTCTGTTTCTAGGATGCATTACATCTTTGACATGACTAGTGGTCACACTGAGCAGATATAGCATCCTGTGGTGAATATTTCAGGTGAACATGCTCGTGCTCTCTTTGGTATATCCGCCATGACGACAGTGTTACTTTTAATGATGTTCAAATACGCAAGAAACTTCAAATGAACCCCGTACACTAAAATTACTATAATAAAATTCGTAAATAATCCACCATATGCAAAATGCATAAATTTTGATGATTATTGTTCTAAAAACTTGTTTTTATAGAACGTATTTGTAGAGGTTACTCTGCTCCACTACTAAGATTAATAATCATCAAATTAATGAATAATAATTAATAAATGTGTTTAGTTTTTCAAGATTTGGATTGTTAATGTTAAATCGTAACTAGAGATCGTGTTATGGATATGAAGGTGATTTTTTGCTAAATCCGAAAAGAATAACCAATATATAATGATGCAGTAAAGTTTTTCAAACATTATCTAGAAATATTAAGTATTGTTGTTCTTCGATATCTGAAATATGTTCTCAAATGAAATGTTTGGTATAAACCATAGATAATCAATATTTGTATAATCAAAGAAAATATTAAGATATTACCTCGATAAAATAAGTAAATTAGAAATGTTTTCTCCTTAATAAAACAACAACATGTGAATAAAATCAAGTTAAGTTACAAAACAGATCGATTTAAATTTTACATTTATTTACAAATTCGTGGTATGTTGATTTTTTTTTCCGAAAAAAATTAAAAGGCAGTTGTTTCTCACAAACCACATAACAGGTTAAATCCTGTACATTCATGGCATGTGCTTATTACTTTTGAGAAAGACGCCAAGAAAATGGATATGAAGCGGATGAACAACGTTTATCTTACCGGAAATATAATAGGAAAAGGATGTTTGTTGCGGAAACGTAAGTTTCAGATGTTCGGTATCAAATTTCAGTGTTAAATGTTCCCTAGATTCATGCTCTGTAGCACTTTGAGATAAAGTGAGTAAACGTTTTAATATCTTTTTTCTTTCAATCTGAAAAAACAAAAGGTAACAAAAAGTGAATTGGAATGTTTTCAGGAATATTAAAATGTCAAAATCTAGCTACAAAAAAAAAATAAGGTTTCCTTTGATAAATATACGCAATTGCATTCTGATTTACTGAAATTAAGAACTAATGAGGTTTGATTAGTTAAGCAAATTGAAATATTGAGTTGTATTTGGTCTACACATAAGAACATTTGTGTGTTACTTATAAGTATTATATAGATACGAATACTCTTTTGCTTAAAGCAAATTATTTAATCACATCAAAAAATAAATAAACGGGTAATGGCTACAGCTATCCAAGTATACAGTTCTTACGTTCCTACTTATAAAGATAGTATGTACCGTCTCGTTTTTCTGCCTAGACGAAATTACAAAAACATTTCTCAGCCAGTCTTTATTATAATTCTTGTAATAGGTATTTTAATCCTTACCTACATTTATTATTTAATGGACTCGAAGTGCTTTTTAGCTTTCTAAGGAGTTGTAGTGGATTTGTTTTTTTGTTTTTGAATTTCGCGCAAAGCTATAAGAGAGCTATCTGCGCTAGCCGTCCCTAATTTAGCAGTGTAAGACTAGAGGGAAGGCAGCTAGTCATCACCACCCACCGCCAACTCTTGGGCAACTCTTTACCAACGAATATTGGATTGACCGTGACGTTATAACG